TTATACCCACATATTTTGTCTTTTATTCTCTATCCTTTGATACAAATCTTTTTCTCACAAAGTTTCCTTTTCAACAGAACTGGTGACCCGACGGAAACAGAGATGGACACCATTCTAATTCTAACGCGCGACAGTTATTACGTGGCTGATTACGACGATCAGATCGACAAAGTTACAAACTACCAAAGAGTTCCACTCGAGGATGTTATATTGATTGAGTTTGGTCAGCCCGAAAGTACAGTCTCTCTCTTTAAAAATAGGCATTTTCACTGCATTAGAATAAATTACAAAGTGGCCAACGAGTGCGGCTACTTCCACATGTTTCGCAGTACAAATTTACGTTTTTTCAATAACATGGCTGTTGTTATAAAAACTGAAGAGGAGAGTATAGGTAAGCTGCCTTGGTATGCTTCGATTATCAGACGTTAATTCGAATAATGCATTTATTTGTACGATACAGAGTCTTTGAAAGCAGTCTGCGAAGCTATATCCATAGCAATGGAAATAGCAGATCTACCAGAGATTCCTATAGCGATGAATGTAACGTTAGATAAACGAAAGAGTAAATTAGTTAACGTTAAAGGATCTACAGGTCTGCTGGACATCTCGTCCCTTCCAGAACTAACCAGAAATGTCTCGGAGACACAGTTACAAGCTCTGAAAAGTGCAGGTATATATTTTTGGAATCATTGTAATGTGTTCGTTTTTCCAAGTAAATAACAATCTATACAATTTCATATAAATACAGGAACGAAAGCATTGAACAACATGTCGGAGCAATTCAGTAAATTAAACAAGTTAAGTCATAGCTTCAGCGCGAAGAAACCAATCATAGCAAAAAGTATAGGCATAAAGTCCGAGGCATTCTCGAAACCTACTTTCACGGTTGGAAGCAGGGATATCTCAGGCAATGTACAAGGAAAACGTAACAGCATTAGCAGCAGCAGTAGCGATGACGAAAATTTAACAACATCAGTTGTTCCTTTAGAAAAGCCAGAAAACTTCAGTCACGATAAAAATCTCATGGAAGCGTACACTCCATCTATTGGCATCATAATGGGTGTAAAGAACGCTGATGTAGTCGAAAGCAATGATAACAACGAAACGCAAAATTTATCGGTACGACCCACCAACCTATCCGATCAGAATTCGAATGCGGAAAGTCTGCTCGTTCCAGATACTGGATCCGGAACAAGCACTCTAAGTGCTTCCCCTCAAAAGACTACAGCTACAACACCGGAAATAACGATACAAGGCGCATCGGAAGCCTTAACCGAAGACAAGGAGAGAATGGTTCCACCGTCGACGTTGAATCTCACAAAAAATATTAGTCACTCGACTGGTGAAGTTGATAGCAAGTTAATACTTAGCAATACAAATGTCAATAACTTGCAAACGGAGAGTAGGTTGCAAGAGAAAAAGAGGTCGACGTCTGAACAAGATTTAACCTTAAATATCACATCTTCACGAAGCGAGTCTGCTTTGAAGTCTATAAAAACTAATGTCTCGAATGTCGTCAGCCCAGTAGCGTCTACCACAAAAGATATTCTGTCGCCTTTTTCAAAATTCGCGAAAGGTGTTCAAACGTTAGGAGCAAACTTAGATCCTCGAAAGTTGAAAACGGGACAAGCAGGATTACTTAGAAACCTTTCGGACCACCATGTAGAACAACGTCAGAAACTGCAAGAGAGATGGGGTTCTTGTCAATCGAAACTAATAGCTTTGTAAGTTTATCGAAGATATCGTAGCTAAAATCTCAATGTCTAGCAACGTTATTGTAATTCACAATTTAGGTAAACACGATAATAGTCGAACGATTGAGAAATCGTCGTGCACTAATCATTGACAATGCGTCGCATAAACGTGGGAGATACTTTTGCATAGGAATTGATAAATATATTGGGTTGTCCGGAAAGTTCATACCTATTTTAAAAAAAAATTCAAAGGCATATTTGAATTTTGATGTATATTTATTAAATTATATGTGTTCCATTTTGTTCCACAACTTTTCCACCTGTTAAGGAATGTACACATTTTATTTGTTTTCATCCATTCTGATATATAGAGACCTGTACCGCCTACTAAAAATCGGCATGAACTTTCCAGACAGCCCAATACTTCTCGTTGCCACAGGTATTTCCTAGATATAGTATTACGAAAAAGTCGTTTCGAACAGTAAAGTCAGTGCACATATTTAACACGATTGATTATTTTGGATTACTGCCACCTTGCCATAAAAATTGTGCAAACAAATTCTCTTAACCGATAAGATATTTCTTATTAGTGATGGGCGTTCGAATCTACGTTCTAAAAGAGATTCAAAACTTTCAAGACTGTGACGTTTCGAATCGTTTCAATCATCATTAAATACCATGTGATCTCGTGCATCCTTAAGTGGTCTAAAATTTATTAAAATTTCTATTAGAATATGTTAAATGCAGAGTCACTTGTTTATTTATTCAAAATGTTCAGGACTTTCAAGACTGAAAGTTTTAAGAATTGGTATCAAATAATATCCGATGCGATACGCTGCAGTCTTGAGCCTACCACTATTTTCTGTACTTTCTCATGAAAATTACCTCCTCAAAGTACAATGTGGTCAATATTTAAGCTACAGCAAGTCACTTGGTGTATCAGCTTACAAATTTTCTATTATTCTACATTCATAGGAGCGGAGGGGTTCCTGCTCCTATACAAAACGACTATCTATTTGCAAAATGCTTTGGCATATTTATACAAAATTTTTGTCGCGATAGCGTTTGTATCGATTTTATGAAACGAAACCTAGCATTGCATTTGAATGTTAGAAACTCGAATTGTGGATTTACCAAAAGTGTGTGCTTATACAATGAAATTTAATCCCAACGTTCTCTGAAGCTTCAGTTTTTGCTGCATAATTAAATTTTCTTAACGGTCGAAACTTTAATTGCTAAACAAGTAATGTATCTCCTTTTTTTTGTGTAACTACATAGATCGAAATATGCATGTAACATTTGCGAGCTAGTAAACGTTGATGAGTTGAAAATTTATTTGTGCAGCAAGTTCAACGAAGAAGCTTTGTAGTCAATTATGTAAATATGAACCGTTATTTAAGAATAGTCTAGTAAATAACGTAATATGGCTAATTAAAACGAAAGTATAGTGGCAAGATAGAATGTGAGAAATAAACATTCTCTCTGGAAAACTGTACAATGTGCAAATTAGAAGTGATAACTGTCACAAGATATGCCTAGAAATTGGAGTAGTTTCCAAATCTTTAGAAACTACTATCTAATGTTAAACATGCAAGTTTGAGACTTATTTTGAAAAAGGCAAGCTTTGTTTATAACATATTGTTTTCCACATAAAATTGCGCTTGAAACACATGAATGTTTCCAAAAAAAAAAGGTCGTGTTATTCCTACATTAATATAGCTACAGTATTATGTACATAATACTTAAACAATTATAGTAACAATTTGCATATATAATCTGTACTTAGATCATAAAATATCCATTTTTATTTAATACTCGAATTATGACAACGTAGACCAAATAATATGAGTTATGATTCTAGGAAACTGATATCTTGTATATAAATATTTTAATTTAATCGTGATATGCTGTAAACATTTCATAATTGCACTTAACACGTGGTAGAAGTATTGCAAGTAAGAGTTTTTCTAGTGAATGTTTTTTCCAATTGCAAATGATAGTCTGTGATATAATCTAGCAGAATGAGCACAGCCTATAATGACAAAAAAAAAATGAGAATAAAATGGCGTGTCGATTCTGTAGATCATTTAGAAATGCTTTAAAATGAGAACACCAAAAACAGGACTGTTTTCAAGTAATCCGCTCTATTTAGCTGAATCTGTTACCCAGATTTTACGATTGTTTATTCATTCCACATTAGAACACCTTATTTTTAAAATAATTTTAACTTGTATAACTTGTGAAATATCTATTTATTGATGCAGTATTATAAGTCATTGAAAAAAAAAATACTCTATATTTTTAGTTCCTTTTTTCGTATTGTCACAATATATGGTCCAATTAAAGTTGAGCATTCGACATATTGCAACGGATATTATGTGTATTTTTACAATAGAACACAACAAACAATCCTGACAAACAACGCACGAAAATGTTCATAGCCTGTAGAGGCTTAACTTGCCTTATATATTAGCAGTTACATTTTCGAAAACATATATATATATATATATGTACATGTGATGCATTGAGCAACATAGTAGTGTAGAACAAAATTACAATAAAATTCAATGAACTCCTATAAACTTGTTCTTATTCCTTCCAAAATGAATTCAATGAATAGAAAAAATTGTGATAGAAATAATCAGTCACTCCTTTCAATGTAACGAGATTTTTATATAAAACCTATTTGAAGGTAGGAATAGTCATGATTATTCAAAAAATAACTTTACTCCAAATAAGCTACGTTAATTGGATCTACAGGGTGTCCCAAAAGTCGGGGAGGAGCCAGAAATGGGGGGGTAGCTGAGACGATTCTGAACAACAATTTCCTTTGCAAAAATGTCGGATGGGGCTTCGTTAAAGAGATATTAAGCGAAAACCTCGACCAATTAGAGCGCGCGTAGACCGTTCGAACGGCCGCGGTAGCGAAGGCTACGCGCTAGGCGGCAGCGTCAATGACCTTCAATACACGTCGAGTCACTTGTTCGCGTACAAGCGCGGCCGTCAACGTGTAGCCTTCGCTACCACGGCCGCTCGAACGGTCTACGCGCGCTCTGATTGGTCGGGGTTTTCGCTTAATATCTCCATAACGAAGCTCCATCCGACATTTTTGCAAAGGAAATTGTTGTTCAGAATCGTCTCAGCTACCCCCCATTTCCGGCTCTTCCCCGACTTTTGGGACACCCTGTATATTAAAAATGTTATACTTACATCGATATTGGCGCAATTTTAGTGTATGCGCAGTCGTGTACTGCGCATGCAGGAAAATGGCGGCAAATCTGGCGGCTATAAATTGCGACTAACTTCATTGCTTTTGATTAACACGTGGCTATATATATACACATAGATATATATGAATGGAAATTTTTGGAGTGCAGAGATGCATTTCCTATATGATGTATATTATACGAATTTAAACTAATAAATAATAAAATCGATATAAATTTGTATTCTTTTATCCGTAGTAAATTTTCACGAGATTATTCTTTTCTAAATTGTTGGTTTACTTTTCTTACGGTAAGTGGTGAACATGGAATGCTTTTGGTCTGATCCATCTAAACATCCACAGTGTCCACACGGTAATTTTTGGCATTGAAATTTCTTATATTATCGAATTATACAGAAGTACATCAAACATTTGTGGTAACATCATCTTTATGTAGGGCCAACTTTGTTATTCGGTGAATATGTGAATGGTAAGCTGAATAAGTTCTACACATGTGCTGCTTGTCGCGAGAGAAAATTGTGCAAGTTTCACTTAAAAGAAGGAGAAACATTGACGAAGAAACAGGCAGCTAAATGGGAACAAAAAAAGAAAGAGTTTTCTTCTCGTTATCATCACAGACCATTATATGTTCACTTCAATAAGATAATGTCTTTGCCACCGGAGAAAAGATGTTATTGTCAAACTTGTGACAAACTGATGCACCATGATGATAAAGACAAACATCAAAATCATGATTTACACGAAGGTGTTACGGACTATCACATGAAACATCCAACAGAAATGTTGAAACCCCTGAAAAATTCTAGACAAGAAGCTCAGTATTTTTTTTCAAAGAAATCCACAGAAGAGATGACAGACATGCTTGCCAAACTAGGTGCCAAGCAAGTTCTTTGCATTGGTACACCAAAAATACATGAACATATCTTAGATCAATACGAGGATAAAATATCCTCTCTTTTATTAGACCTTGATGGAAGATTTGTAAGTTTCAAAACTTAGAAAATAAAAGTTGCACCTTAAGCAGTTTAAAAAGCAAATTTTATTTTTATGTTATAGCATAACTTTTTTGGTCCACTGAGTTATTGCTGGTATAATCTATTAAACAACCATTTTTTTGATGAAAATGCTTTGCATGTGTTTAAAGATTTTTTAACACAAAATGGAGGAAAAGATACATTTTTAATATGCGATCCACCATTTGGTAGCCGGGTAGAGCCAATGTCATGGACTATCAAGAGAATTGCTGACCTCCATAAAAAATGGAATAATATAGAGGATGAAAACGATTGTTTGAAAATCATGTTCATATTTCCATATTTTATGGAATCCATAATGAAACAAAAAAGTAATCCACCTGGTGTATCTGGGGGTTTGAAGGATTTGAAAATGGTTGATTACAAAGTATCTTATGACAATCATGCCTTATTTGTGACTGAACCTAAAGCTAATAAGCTTCCATCCCCTATTAGAATTTTTACAAATGTACCATTACATTTAGTGGAACTTCCCAAAGCAAGTGGTTACAAATATTGCAAAAAATGTCAAAAGTGGGTATCAGAAGAGAATAAGCATTGCAAGAAATGCAAAGATTGCACTTCTAAAAATGGTTTGACTTACAAGCACTGCAATGCATGCAACAGATGCGTGAAACCCAATTGGGAACATTGCAAGACTTGTTCAAAATGTGCAATGAAGAATCACAAGTGTGGACAAAAACCTAAAGTTAATGGTAAATGCTTTAAATGCAATGAACTGGGTATGTATACTGAAAGAATTGAGAGTATTATACAATAATGTGCATAATTCGTTTGATTATTTATAGGACATGTTCAGAGAGACTGTAATGTTGATCAAGAAAATAATGCAAATGTAACAGAAACTAAAGAGGTTAAAAAACGTAAGGCTAGTAAAGACACGGAATTAGTTAGTAACAAGAAAAAAAGAAAAGTAGATAATTCGGTAGAAGATGCAGCCACGCCTGAAAGTAAAAATGTTAAAGCAACCTTGACCGTCAAAAACCAGAAAAAAGTAAAAGTACGTGCCGTAAAAAATGGAGTTACGAGTAAAAAGAAAAAAGTGAAAGAACAAAAAACATAACAATTTGTCTACTACGAATTAATGATACTTCGCATTTTGTAAATAAATTTGTTTATCAACCCGAACAATGTATTTTAATTTAAAATTTATGATTAATCTTATCCAGATATCCTATTTGTTTCTTTAAAAGATCTCTTTCCGAAAAGTTTAGAATCCCTGATCGAATGTTTAAAAATATCTGCTCACTAAATACGGGTTTCAAGATTCGTAATCACTTTAAGACAGAACTTATTTTAATTTTTAAGAAGAAGAACAGAGAGATTTGTAAATTTTTGTACAATTTTCGCTGTATAAACTTGGAAACTTTGCGAAGAAGTACGCGGCATTTGCCCGCGAAAATCCAAACCTAGCGTCTAACCGAAGAACTGGTTTCGATTCTCGATTTGGATTAGAAACATGGCCGCTCCCTTGTCACGCTTCCCATACAGCGTGTTCAAGCAAAATCAATTTCAATACAAACAAATTCTAATTTTTTCGTGTACAGATCGGTTTTCACGGTACAGAAACTTTACTACCCAACAAGAAAAGTATAAAATTTTCAACAAAACCATTAAAAACATCCTAACCTATACCATTTTCCTCTCTGGTTTTGGTTACACTGTGTATAAATGGAAAGATAGTATTTGTAGCCGATTCGGTAGTTTAGCGAATTTTATACCCACGATTCATGCAAAATCGATCAATTTGGTAGACATTAACCATAACAGAGATAAATACAACTTTATAGCTGACGTAGTGGAGCTATCAGCTCCAGCTGTGGTCAACATTGAAATTAAAGACAATAAAAGGTAGATACAAATGATGTATATAAAAAAGTACAAATATAATAATATAACTACGAATAGGATTATGTATCGAGTATTTATTAATCAGAAAATAGATTTGATTTTTTTACAGGTAAGCCAGTGACTGCTAGCAATGGGTCTGGTTTCATTGTTCAGTCGGATGGTTTGATATTAACAAACGCTCACGTTGTTGTTAATAAACCAAACACAGTTGTTAAGGTACCTGCTGCTTTAATTTGTATAATTGTGTTTCTTTATGATATATAAGATTTATTTTATAGGTACGTCTTTATGATGGAACTACCTATACCGGTATTGTGGAGGATGTGGATATGCACAGAGATCTTGCCACTGTACGAATTAACAAGGTATATATATGTTCTATACAACAATATGTTGATTTTCAGATTGCTACCATGATCATTTTTTCTGTAGACTAATCTACCAGTAATGAAGCTTGGTAGTTCTGCAACTCTTAGGCCAGGAGAGTTTGTAATTGCTATTGGATCCCCACTAGCTTTAAGCAATACGATAACGAGCGGCATTATAAGCAGCGTGAATCGTCAAAGTGAGGAACTCGGTCTTTATAATAATCAGATGGGATACATCCAAACGGATGCTGCGATTACAGTTAGTATTTTTATTCATTAAACACGACACATTAAATTGTACTCATTTCTATTGAGCACTGTTACTCCTTAGTTTGGAAATTCAGGTGGTCCACTGGTTAATTTAAACGGAGAAGCTATTGGTATAAACGCAATGAAAGTAACAGCTGGTATTTGTTTCGCGATACCTATAGATCACGCTAAAGAGTTCCTTAAGAAAGCAGAAATGCGTAGAAAGGGCAAAGGTAACGTATTAAGAAGATATACCATCTTTGATGTCAACCTAAAACAATGTTATATTAGGCGCGCAAGCTACATTGGACATTCCTAAGAACCGATATTTGGGAGTTACCATGCTTTCTCTAACGCCCATTCTTCTCTCCGAGCTGCAACAGAAACTCGAAGGTATTCCGCAGAACGTCAGAAACGGAGTTCTTATCTGCAAAGTAATCGTCGGATCACCAGCTCACCTGTACGTTCCCAGACAAGAAATCCCCTATTGCTACCATATAAACAACTAGTGCACATTATCAAAATATTTCAGAGGTGGTCTGCAGCTCGGTGACATAATAACCAGCGTGAATGGCGAGCCGGTGATGAACGCTCTCAACATCTACAAAGCGATAGAAACCTCGAAAGTTTTATCGATGACCGTCGTTAGAAAAATGCAAGTGCTGCAATTAAAAGTCGAACTAGAGGATACTTAAAATCCAACACAACTTCGCGTAGGGATTCAAAATTATTTATAGCTTATTAATCTTCCAAACTCTTTGAAAATAAAGCACACCAAGTTTCCATGTAACCATGTACATTATTTGCGTGAACGATAAATAATTCCTTTCGCGCAGACGATTTTTTAATAGGGAGCTGACACGATACGCGGCAAGGATTTATTTCGATCGGCGAATTTATCGAAGGCCCGATTGTTCCCTTTATCTTCCTCCTTATTCTGGTTTTACAGGTCGCCGCGAAGAGCGATGTCACGTCGCTCGGATACGAGGGGCTCTTGTCGCGATAGGGAACGGGGCACGCGTGTGCGTGCATGTGTACGTCGGGTGTGGTCCACCGGCTCGGCTGCATTATGTTTATGTTTACGACATAAGGCGACCTCCGCAAATATGTGACCGGATCTCGGTGCGCGTGGGTGTGGTCTGAGCATTTTTCCAAAACGATTTTACCGTGCTCGAACGCGTGCATCTTGCGCTGGAATCCTAACAGGCACGAGTTCCAATTAAAGGTCAGACTTGTCGTATACTTTACAGGTATTCGTATTCGAGCACCGCGAATAAACTTTGAGTATTCGACTATTGTAATAGCGTCACTCGAGCAAGAAAGTATTCGTGATTCATGCATTTGGTCTATTTAGATAGCTTTTTATCAGTCGTACCCCAGAACGTCGCACGTTATTCCACCTCGACATCCGCGAAACGTGTCAACTGGACGATACGAATCGGGTTCTTGAAACAGACCACGCCAACAGTATCCGCGAGTTTGCACGCGCGTCAACGATAAATCGCAATTAACTCTCGGCGCACCGATAAGGGTAAAGGCTGACGGCTTTCATTATGGACGCAATAAACCGTGACCGAGTGATGCCAACGATGCCTCTTCCGCTATGAATAGTTATCGCTCGAGCATGGTTTGAGGCAACTGCTGTGTCGCACAGAAATCAGGTTTTACTAGTTAGACCTCATTTTTCGTGATCTAGATCTTCATCCTCTATCGCGCACATTGCGTAAGCATTATACAAGGATGGATAACCTCCGTGACCTTTGACGACCTTCGATATCCTTGGGTTATATTAGGAGAATTTAGAAGAACAAAGCTTCTCCTTGACACCTCTTTTGTAGCGATTTCCTTTTTTTTTATTAATTTCAGGTGTAGAGTAATATCTTTTTCAGCTCCACTATTATCGATCCACCGTATTCTTTTCATCTGGATATTCTTGTCGTCGGTGCCCGGCACGGATGGGGGCAAATTTCCTGATTATCCAGGCTTTTGCGCGTATCCTCGCCTACGAGCGAGCTCTGCCACTTCCAACGAGCGTGTCTAGCGATTCTCGGTAGCTGGAGAACAAATGGGCATCAAGGTGATCGGACCCTGGTATCTACAAACGTACGAACGCACGAACGAGATAGCCCAGGATTGCTCGTTCGCCTACACGTACTCACATGTCGACTTTCCAACGGCCGATGACCAGGAGCGAGGAATCTCCTTAAAGGACGCGATCGAACCGGTGGAAGAGGACGTGGCTTGTCTTTTAATAGATCCGCCAGAAAGGCAATAGAAGTAGGATCGCGTTCGTGGCGTAGACGTACCACGAACATCGAGGCTTTTGAATGCAGCAAACACGACTAGCGAAGTCACCAACTCCTCGAGTTCGCTTAAGTCGCGTGTTAAAGCTGTGGAGTTGAAAAATGCGTACGAAGAATTTCAGATTCTAATAAAACAGAACGTTCCGGATACAGTCGTGTTTCAGAACTACTACTAAAAGAAGATAAGATCCGAAGGAGAGAGTCGACAGCCAGCACGGAGGATTTGGAAGGATTTAGATGCAAACCATGTAAGGTGCACCAATGCGAAAACATCCTTGTCTCATGGAAAATTCGTATACCGGATTGTAAGGAATGCAGCGAGGTGCTCAAGCCACACAGAGCGGCACGTAAAGCGACACCCTCGAATGGCGCAAGCCATTCTCGTTCCAAGACCACGCGTTTGTCCCTTCGATATAACACAAAGAGCTTGAGACTTTAATGCACAGGTTTCTACGAACGAAGATTGCTGGCGCCACTCGTCTGGCTCGGAAGGACCGCCTTCTATCGCTAATATTAATTCAATCGAAAGTAAATTCAAACACTAAATCGTTGGATGATCCATAGATGAATCTATCATTTCGTTCGGTACTGGGAAAAAATACAATTCAAATGAAATTAATATAGAAAACACAGAAAATATACGTATTTTTCGTTTATATCATTGCTCTCTGCGACAATGTATCGAACCACAACAGAACTGCATTCGTAGAATCAAAAGTAGAAGTAGAGATTGCTATATTCGTGCAGCTTTTTATCTGCAATTCCTGCGCATAATTCGTCTTCGGCCGTACTCCTGGCGTCAGTAATCTTTGCACGTGGAAACTCTGCATAAGACAATCAAGCTTGGTCACTCCGCAGCCATCTCCAGCTAAAGTTCTTCCCATCGCAAACAAGCGCCGCGAAATCCTGTCGCATCCTTCCGCCCCCCCCCCCCCCCCTCATCGTGTAACGCTCGACAATGACAAATAATTCTCGCTTTAAACGAGACGCGATTAAAGCCTGCAACGAGACTCCCCTCGCAACGACACGCGGGACAATCACTTTTGTTTAAACATTTTTGCCCAGATTCCCGCCAGCGTCCGGGTCACTGCGACGCCACAGCGTCAAGGACGAAGGTCGGAGGATTTTATCGCGACAGGGGATGTCCTTTGCAGAGACTAAAAGTCGCGGACTAAAAGGGAAAAGGTTGTAAACATTTCAACTTCTATGTTCCTTTTGATATACGCGAGTGTCGGGCAACTTTTATCGTTGCTGGAACGTCCATTCTGTTTTCCTTTAAAAGAATCATGTTTTTTTTTCAGGTTGACGCATTGCTTCATGAATTATTTTTTGTGCTTTGACTCTTTTGTTGTCTTCCAAATTGTTACGGTTCCCCTTTCATTCGAGGTAATACGAAGGTTGATACATCAAGCATGCTTGAATTCGTCTTTATGTTAGTCATAAAAGGAGCAGACCTTTGGAATACAAACAAATGACCTCGAGAGAAAAATGATTGACTCGAAATGTTTAGAGCCGTAAGAATGAAAATATTCGACTATTCCTGGTAAAGTGTTTAATTATTGGCCAGATTGGAGCTACTGTCCGGGTCAGCGCGAGGATCAAGGACGTCAAGGACGAATGTCGGGCGGTTTTATTGCGGCAAGGGAGGATTCCTGAATGTCTGCGGTAGAGGAGAAAAAGGCGGGAAAAAGGCTGGCGGCAGGCGAACAATTTCGCTTCTACAAGAGCCGCCGATGCTTTCGCACGGCCCTCGATCAAGGCCAAGCAGAATTGTTGCCGCTGCGGAGGCCAGCCACGGACCGCGAAACGCAATCACGATTCACATTGTATCAGGGATCTATCGATCCTTCAAAGAGACTCGCGGCACAGTGTAGCAGAATTCAATCGGACAAAGATAACAGGAATCGCTGATGATAGGAATCGTTGAATATCTTCTTACAAACTTACAATCGAACCGATTTTCTAATCGTTCATTTTCCACCGTGACAATTCAAGCTAGAACAATATCGAAACAATCGCGTGTCATTGGTAGAACCGCGTGTTTCTCTTTGAAACGAGTCAATTATTTTTCCAAGGCCTAGGAATGAATTCTGGGCCCAGTGTGCGAGCGATACGGTCTGTTGCTGGGCCCCAGTTTGCCGTCGCATTGATCATCGTGCAGCGATCCGACGCGAATAAAGCAGCCGTGCGACGGCGTTAATGACGCTAATAATTTCAAAGCGGCAATTACACGCGGGACCCGCGCGCACTGGATCATGGTAGTTATGGGCCGGTACAAGAAATTTACACGCCGACCGATCGTGCCGCGATTCCACCCAAGAAACTCACCGGGCTGGCCGTGCCTCGGGATGCCTCGATTGTTCCGTAGGCTTCCGTAGGCTCTTTCTTTGACGAGGCTGTAAATTTTTCGCGCTGTACTCATCGACGCGGAGAAGTTTTTGTCACGTGGCAGCCGTTCGTCGGAAGCCTTATTGGCGATTACGGCGATATAAATGCGTCGGAATTGCTTGGTTCTTCGGACGAAACTAAAATAACCTTCCCCTTTTTACCAACCTCCCTGGGGTTGTCTAGAAAATGCACACTAGAAGATGACTTTTATGTCTGATATTTATAGACAAGAAAATACGATCCTGGTCGTTTCAGTCATTAATTTATTACAATCGACCCGGTAGATACTTAATTACGTTTAACTGCGTATCCAATAGCTCTTATGAGTTTATTATTTTAGTTGCATTTTATTACGCCTTATCCCCTGTTTTATAAGCTGGTACCTATGCGTATATAGGGTGATTTGTTTATCCGGACCACCGGGACATCCCCGTTACCGTCGATTTTCTCAAGGTTATTCTTTCTTCGTGTTTTCAATGTCGTCGGCATTCCTCTTTACAGCAACGACACATTTTTATCGCCGCGGTATTGTATACGACGAAGAAAAGAATCGTGCCGCGTATGGCATGCACGACTTTCGAATGATCTTGAAGCACCCAAAGGTACTCGACACGATTCCCCATTAACTTCGGATATCGTTCTCGCGTCCCTTGCTCGCGGTGCACACGTTTCAAAATTAAAACGATATTTCTCTTCTTAATGTTATTCCACGTTGTTGGTTATTTTTATTTACGAATATATAACTTTACACGAAACTAGTTGTTATATTAGAAACACAGAATAGAGATTATTATACACGTTAGTTATTATAATACATTTTTGGGAACATACATGGAACACGTTCTATGCGCCACGCGCTAGCCGTAAGACGCAACGAACATCCCTGAACAAAAGACGCCCTTTCGCTCATTGGCGCTGCGGATGCGATCGCGTCTTATACGCTCGAATTTCAACACAGGTCTTCTCTGAAATATAAAAATAAAAAAAGGTGGGCTACTCGTAGGAGTTAACTTTGAATCAGAATTGGAGAAAATATACACGACTAAGAATAGCCCGTATTAAAGTACGACTCACCGCGCGAGAGCGTTGATCCGAAA